CGGTGCTTGGTGGAGAGTTGATTCTTTCCATTATACATCAAACATGCAAAGACATCAACCAACAGCTCCAGACCTTTTGTTCTGAGGTGCACATCTGTTTCCTGTTGGCCATGGGTTTCTCTACTTTCACAGTGCTAAATGAGCTGAAAATGAAGAAACATTAGTTTGCATAGAAAAGCAGCTAAGTAAATAAAGCAAATGAGAAAAGGAAGAGTATGTTGTATGATATTTTTGGATTGCAAAATCCAAATTGATGATGCATACTGCATTAAAACCACCTCTGACTGGTCAGCTTTCATGTTTTTAATTTGTGAGTATAAAACTGATTTGTTGCATGCTTAAATAATATAGGTGATGAAGAGGTGCTGAGAGTGAGAGGGTAAAACAGGATATGAACTGAAACTCTGGTAAATGCATGTTATGTCCCGCTGAATATGCTGTAGTGCAAGAATTCAGTTTGTTTGACATGTCGTGCACTGTAAATATCACACTATGGCAGATACCGGACCGTTCACTTTCTGCACGCCATTTTGCAGTGTGAAGTTTGATATCACAACAAAGTGTTTCCGTGACAACTCACATACACCCACTAAACATGTCAATCATCAAAAGGTCATAGAGATACAGTGTGTGTCTTAGCCACTGAATGTGTAACAGACATCACTCAACACTTTATTGAAACATAAAAGTTTAACAGGGCTATGAGTGCATGTCACACATCTGTAGGGTCGCAACCATTATTTTTACAGAAATAAATAATCCAATCCAGTATGTTTCCATATTAAATGATAATGTCTATAACAGTGTGCAATCCTGATATCTATACAGTATATATATATATATATATATATTTTTTTTTTTTTTTTTTTTACATTTCAGCATGAGAACGTTTTTCAGGGTAGTGTAGGATGGATGGGTGTTGTTTATTGGCTATGCATTTAAAACTCATGTTGTGGATGAGCTCTTGTTCTCAAAGCTAAAATACAAAAATGCATGCCATTCTCAGTCTCTTAAATGTGACATGAATGCAGTGGCTTTTTTTTTAATACACTGGTTCTCAGCCTTATGACCCGATGGCCACCCATTTTCCAACACCATATTCAAAGGCCCCTCATATTGGACAAATTACTCTGGTATTTCTGCTGTATTTATGATCAAGCTGCTTGCTTTCAAACAAATTTAATTCTTAACAGTCATTGCGAGTGTTGCTATATTAAAATAATTAACCACAAATAATTTTGAGATAACAGAAGATTCAAGTTTCTGATTCGGTATGATCTTCAATAAAAACAGTTGTTATTAGGGGAAAATTTGTGTGTTGTTGCATTTGAATCAAGTTAAGTTTCTTTTTAATATAATTAGGTAATTTTAAGCCATCTTGTGACCCATTTGGAAGTTTGCTGAGGGCCCACTGGGGGGCCTAATGAGAACAACTGTTCTAAATAACTACATATCTACTGATTATAATAAAATAAAATGAAGACACTTTATATTTCAACGTTTTAATGCTGACAAAGGTATTCATAGTTTTAATGGCTTTGATCCTAGTTGAACACAATGTCTTGTTCCCTTCCTCTTAAACACACACCACACACCCAATGTTTTGTCGTGGTATGTAGTTTTCCTTTCCCATAGCAAGTCTCAATGCTGTTTCTGGTGGAGGCATCTGTAATGTAATCTGGTCAAGTGAGTGATGAAAGATCATTTCATTAGATCACTATTTGGAATGGCAACACTCCAAAGTTTCAGAGAGCTTCTTAAAGTACACGCATACATAAACACTCAGAAAATTTGCTCAGCCACAATATATTTGCTGAACCTAGGAAACAGTACACGTGACCTAACTGTACCACCAAGAAGAGGATAAATGCTGTGCTGTTGAGCTGTGAAAGAGCACAACCTTATAAAGTTCAGCATTCTAGCTTTATATGCTGATTGTCATGATACTCCAACACTCAAAAAACGCCCAAAATAAACAAATATTTAGATTATGCATTTATTTTTTTATACATTTGATCATATTTTATATTTAACAATATTATAATTGGTTTATTTTTTAAATAATTTTAATACGTATTTTTTAATAAATCTAGCATATTTATTGAAATTATTGTATTATATTGTAAAGTCATGCAGTGATGAGATGCCAAGTGGCACAGCTGTGGAAAGATGAATGAAGAGGCGTTTAAACAAACTTCTCTGTTAAAAATCATTTTTCAGCACCATGATTCAGCAAGTGAATAAAAGTGTTCTTTGTATGTGTAAGGAGTTAAAGTTTGGCGAACAGTTTGTTCGAAGGGCAATTTGATCGGTCTAATGTGCCGTAATACAACTGGCAATGCAAATGCTCCATCACAATTCTGTATATATGAGCCTGAATTATTCAGTTCATTTAAACTGTTGTTATATGTTATTGGTGTAAAATTTAACTTGCTCCAAATATTTGTTATGCATTTTGTTTCATCGATGGTTGAAATATATTGTACTGGTACAAACTGTTTAAAAGGCTCATATATATATTTTGATCCTGCATGTTGTATCACTCATAAAAAGTAATTCCATATGGCAAAAATGGTTTAAAACATAAATAAATACATCCAAACAAAATTAAAAATACATCTCCTATGTAAATCTCGGCTCTGCTCTAACACATTTGGCTCCAGGCTGTTGTTAAATAGTAATTCTGACAACAAGAGGAAAGAGACAGTGAGGGCAACCATGGAACATATTAACTCAGTGGATGAAGGAGAGGTGCCAAACGAGAAAAAGACAGAAAGAGCAGAGAAAGACTCAGCAAAAAATACCTCTCTGGCCATCTTCAGAATGTCCCTCTGTGAGATTCATCTGCACCTGAGAGAAACTACACGGAAAGGATCATGAAGAGGGAGTTATTGCAATTTAACTCCAACAGGCCAATCATATCACTCTGAAGGGTTTATTTTAAAATAATGGCCACCCGACTGTATATTATTTCTACTTATAACACGGTTACCTAAATAAATACTTGGACATAAATTAGTGGTTTGAGGTTTAATTATTTTATTAGCTTAAATAGAGACAGAACATGACAGTTTCCCAGAACGGTAATCATTCAAAAATAGTTGAATGCTTAATGCTTCTACTGACCAAAAAAATCAAGCATGCTAGAGCGTTTAGAGCAGCATGCAATGAAAATCCATTTCTTTTCTAAATGCATGTTATTATTGGTGCATATATTTAATTTTTTTATTTTGCTGGTAAAATGACTGGTGATTTATGTCAGGTTTCACCAATCATTTAGTTTGCTTAAACCCAGCCTTTACAATTGACTGAAAGCTTGCAACAATTGAGCTGCCTTTATTTATATATCAGTTTTACAAATGACATTGTTCCTGAATGTCCTTAAATGGGTCATATGATGTTGCTAAAAAGAACATTATTTTGTGTAATGAAATGTGTTTATGCGGTTTAAGGTTCAAAAAACACATTATTTTTCCACATACTGTACATTATTGTTTCTCCTCTATGCATCCAGTGGGGACATAATTACGGATTATAATGACTTATACTGTCTTTTTACATGTTGCATCGCGCCGCATAAACATAAAACCATGTCTGCATTTGTGATCGGAGAAATGACAAACAACAAGAGCTACTCTACACTGCTCAAAACTCGCGTTTGAATCGTCAGTTGCAAATTCTTTATATATAAAAAACTTACTTACAGTCTCTGAGTGAGAACAGCTGGCATTGTAGTACAGGATCAGGAAACAGTCCTCCATAAAATGTGCTGCACACATCTGAATAGTTGGGTTGAAGTGTTCTGGAACAGTGTTGTAAATACAACTTAACCACTGATTTCTAGTCGTGTCCTCTTTTGGAAGGCCAAACAAAGTAGTTTCACTTTCACAACGAAACACAGCATCACACACGGCGGCCTTGAGTGAGCGGAGGCCGGCGGATTCGACGAAGGAGCGTCTGGAGGGCTTGCGGCAACCACATGTGACGAGCCCGGGCTGGGCTCCGCTTCGTCTACGGTGAAAGCCGATCCGGCGATCCACAGCGCAAAGTTGATGTATTTCCTCAGCGACCAGCACGGATCAGCTCTAGACATGATGAAGTGGATATCGTCCTCTTTTGGAAGGCCAAACTAAGTAGTTTGGCTTTCACAACGAAACACACAGTGCCTTCACGACATGGTGGCGGCATCAATACTACAGCGAGAGTAAAAGTTATGCCTTCTTTCTTTGCGTGAACAATTGGGCGGCGTTATGCAAATCTTCCCACACAGTGACGTAGACATGTGGGGGCATGGTTAAACGAGGCGTTTTAGGAGGGCATGGAAGAGTCTTAACTTTTATAAAGAATATCTCTTTGCGTTTGAGACTTTAGTCTTTGCAACTTTAGGGATCTTGTCTATTCACGAACAGCCTGTAACACTCCAAAGAGAAAGGAAAACTTGAAATCGCATCATATGACCCCTTTAAAATAGAAGTTTTGCCAGATTTGGCTTGAGCACTTCTGGGGACCAATCTTGTTCCAAAGTGTAGCTAAGTATGGACACACACACAAGCAGTATTGGATGAGCATTCTCACACACGCATACTAACACATGCATGTAGTGCTGGATGAATTGCATTCCTCGCTCTCTTCTTACACATTCACACCATTGAATGAGTAGCATTTACATACAAACACTGCACGGCAAAACAAAAGTTAAACACAAACCATACATAAAACACAAGTGCCACACCCTGGACAGTGTTAAAGTCTTTTTCTGGCTTCTCTATGTTGCTGTGCTCAAGCCTTCAATTCACCCCGACTGATAAATGACCCTGGTCACTACAACTCGAGTAGGCTCTCTTTCTTTCTCTCTCTCTTTCACACACACACTCTCTCTTTTATTGCCATCCCTCGATGTTAAACAGGATGTCTCCATGGATACAGGAATAAACAGATGATAACAAGCCCTCAGCCTTTAAAGCCCATTTCAGAAGGGAGTAACAGGAGAGACAGAGAAAGAGAGAGAGAGAGAGCAGGACAGGATAGAAGTTGTGCAGACCCGGGAGTGTGTGTGCGTGTGGATTGCCAGCAGCTGGAAGTCAGTAGCACAGGTAAGAGCCATTTCACTGATACTAATGTGACAGAATGTCTTCATATACAAATGCACTCTTGTAAACATGCATACATGTACTTGTCTGATTCGTTATATGCATGCACACATAACATCATATAGACACATAATACGCCATGCATCAGCAGCTGTGGTTTACATTATAAAATATGCCATATATGAGTATGGCTGCACAGTACAATGTGAATTCAGTGCATAAACTGACATAACAAACACAAAATGGTGTTATTTCAAGACAAGATGACATATGCTACTGATTTTGCCCCTAAACTAATTTAAAATTTGCATTCATTGCTATGAGACACTGTGCTGTTTATTATTTTCCTTACTTATTACTTATTTTCCCATAAATAAACAGCACAAAAGTCAAACTGGGTACAAAATATCATGTTTTAATTGCAAAAAATAAATTTAAAATGTATGAAATTAAAATTTTATGAATTTAAAACTAAAAAAAAATAATGTTTTTCAATGGACAGTAGTAACATCTGCAGTGTGTGACTAAGGCACATAAGGATACTATTCATATCATAAATGTTGAACAAAACACTACTGACATCATCAGGTTAATTACAGTGTTGCAGTCTGTCTGATCAAGTAAACAGTCATTAAGTTGTCTATAAAACATGTAACGTTTTATAGTTTGTGAAGTGATTATCACATATTAAATCTATTATAGTTGAGTATGAAATACAGAGTAAGTATAAAGAAACATGTTGTGTGGGGAATACAGGTATCCCGCAGGCAGGTTTAGCTAAAAAAATATCAAGGGCTGAAGCAGATGATTATGATCTGCTCATAAATTCTTCAGGACGTGCCTTTGTTATTTTGATGTGTCTACTGTTTGTTTGTGTGTTTTGTCTGGATGGGTGGATACATGTGTCTCTGTTTCCATCTTTAATACAATGGTTTCCATGGACACTTCCACAAAGTCTTGTCCTGAGTGAGGGGATCTCTTGGGAGGTGGGCAGTGTGTGTTTATGTGGACGACTGCCTTTGTATGTGTGTTAGAAGGGTGAGGTTCACACTCACAATGATGTCTTTATTCGGCCGCCTGTGTGGGAATAACCTCAGCAGCAGCTCGCACATGATCCCTCACACACTGTATTAGGGAAATACACAGCACACAAATGCAACATGTTAAGCATGACGACTTATAAAATGAGATTACTTCAGTGGTTCAGTGATTGAGGAACTGTTTGACAAACCAGTGAAGATTACAACGTGGTGCAACAATTTTTGTATTCATTCTCCACAACAAATAGGAAATAACTGGTCTGCGTAACTTTTTTCTTTTCTTTTTTATTCAGCAAAGACACATTAAATTAATCAAATCTGACAGAAAAGACATTTATAATATTACCAAAGAGTTCTATTTTCAAATAAATGCTGTTCATTTGAACTTCACATTCATCAAAGCATCCTGATAAAATGTATCAGCACAAAAATACTAAGCAGCACAACTGTTTTCAACATTGGTTATAATAAGAAATGTTTCTTGAGCAGCAAATCAGCATATTCAAGGGATTTCTGAAAGATCATGCGACACTGGAGACTGGAGTAATGACTGCCGAAAATTCAGCTTTGCCATCACAGGAATAAATTACATTTTCAAATATATGAATATAGAAAAGAGTTATTTTAAACTGTAAAAAATTTCACAATATTACTGTTTTTACTGTATTTTTTTATCAAATAAATGCAGCCTTGCCGAGCATAAGATACTGTTTGATGTGTGTGAACTGAGGAGACTTACAGATGGCTGAAGGAGTTGGAGTTGAAGCCAGGGCAAGCCCACCCACTGCTGCTGTACACTCATCACCTCTCCATGAGGCCATCGGCTGCCAAACTTCTGACATCCATCTGAAACATTCCACAATAACTCTGAGACACATCAGACCATCCACACACCTACTCTCGCCTCCATTAACAATGGCTGTACTGTGGAGATACACCAAGAAACTCTAGAAGTCTAGGCCTCACTTCTGAAATTCCATGTTATCCAAACACATTCACAGATCCATTGAAGTTGCAAGTACAGAGACAATGCATTCTTGTACTTTACACCACTAATGCCAATGTCTATATTTATTTTATGCCTGCATATTGTCCCTGCTGTCCCTTTTCTCAGTACAGTATTAATGTGAAAGAAGGTATCACTTAAAATTGGAACAGATTTTAAAACACTAGGCATCCTACACTTGCCGACTTTGGAGATATTTACAGAGGAAAAACGGGGTATCATACACTAGACGACTGAGAATCACATGCTACCAGACTTCCTGTTGCTCAGAACACAACAAAGTCATCGCGCCTCATTGCTAAAGAAAACAATGTGTGTTCTAAAATCGGCTCAAAATATCAAACAAAGTTTCTTTAAAGTCGGTGGATTCTGACTGGCTGTCTTTTCATTCTTCAGCTGGAAATATCTTTCTGGAATTGATTCCAACGATATTGTTCCTCTGTGTCTTTATTGTTATAGTTGTACTGTGAACATCCCTACTACAATTAGAATGATTTTTAAAACTTTATCTTTGCAGTTAATAAGAGACAGGACACTTCATCACTATGATACATGATTTTATATCTTAGCATTAGGAAGCTGGCTGAGTTCTATTAGCAGCACACTAAAAAATTAAAAAAATGTTAAAAAAAAACAAACCTGAAAGAGGCCGTCTGAAAATGTTTAGGAAATTCTAACATCAGTGTGTTTTTGTCTGTTGAGCAGCGCTCTGAAGTGAATAATTAGCTGTCTGCTGAGTGCTGATAATCACACCATTAGCTCAGTCCTTACGGCCCTTGAATTTACATCAGGCTCTGTTGCTCCACACACACCTAATGTGTTACTTTTGGCTGATTCTTTAATTGGTATTTTATTCATTCAGGCCATTCAAAAGGCAATGGAAAAGAGGGTGACCTGCTGATGAAGTTTGCCAAAGCTCTGCAGGCAACAAGAAGACCATTGGTGAAATATCTCAAAGCCAAAATCACAGGACAATTTAGATAATTCAGATAACTTGGATCAGTCAGAACTGCTAAATCAGAGCGTAAGATGTTTTGTTGTCTGGGCTCAACCTTATGCTAGACATTATTTGTGTATTGTGTACACATCTGAGATTCCTAACAGATGATAATGCAATGTAATCTTTTTTTTAGAGTGTACCACAGTATTCTGTCTTCTCTTTCATCTTTTTGTCAAATTAAGGCTTGATCATGCCACTACTGCAGATGTCTTATTTGGACAGTTAATACATATCTTTTTCTTGGGAATTTTGTTCCATTAGGTCATAGTCTTACTATTTGTTTGGCAGAATACCCAATATGGCAGAAAGCACAGAAATGGACCAGCTTCTGAGCGCCTTTAAGAAGTTTGCTGTTCATGGTGACACCAAAGCCACTGGAAAGGAGTTGAATGGTAAAAACTGGGCTAAACTGTGCAAAGACTGCAAAGTTATTGACAGCAAGAATGTCACCAGCACTGATGTAGATATTGTCTTCACAAAAGTCAAGTGAGTTTTTCATCATTTTTTGTTCAGAAGGCTATTTCAAACTTTATATGTCTTTTTTTTTTTTTACAGTGCATGCAAAATAAACTACATAAATGTAAAATAAAAAAGTAGATATTGTAAATATTAATATTTTCATAGAAAAAAAACACTGTACTGGCAATGTAACAGAGGTGTTGAAAAAAGGAGTTGAATGGTAAAAACTGGGCTAAACTGTGCAAAGACTGCAAAGTTATTGACAGCAAGAATGTCACCAGCACTGATGTAGATATTGTCTTCACAAAAGTCAAGTGAGTTTTTCATCATTTTGTGTTCAGAAGGCTATTTCAATCTTTATATGTCTTTTTTTTTTACAGTGCATGCAAAATAAACTACATAAATGTAAAATAAAAAAGTAGATATTGTAAATATTAATATTTTCATAGAAAAAAAACACTGTACTGGCAATGTAACAGAGGTGTTGAAATACACACATATATACTGTATATGTGTGTGTATATATATATATATATATATATATATAGTATACTGTTCTCCAGCTTTGACTGATATTGCTATAATTCAATAGTTTTATTAATTTCCTTATTCATTTGTATGTTTTATTTGTTTAACCATTTTAGAAAGTGGCAAAAACTGGCGCAGTGGATCGGTTAACCGACACATCTAAATATACGGGCTCACACAAGGAGCGCTTTGATGAGAGTGGGAAAGGCAAAGGAAAAGGTGGGCGGGAGGAGATTGTGGAAAACACGGGCTACGTAGGGGCCTACAAGAATGCTGGGACTTACGAGGAGAAGCCGAAGGCCAATTAAGGCCACACTGTCTCCATGTCAACAAGCTCTGAGCTTCATCTTTATCAGCACTTAGGTATGGACCAAAGCCGAACTTGAACTTTGACCTGTAAAATCACACCGCCACTATGCAATGTAACACAGGAAGTGTTGTAAATGTTTGTCTTTAAACACAGTATTACAGTTGGTTTTCATTAGAAAGTTGAAAGAAGGGTAAGAAGGAACTGGTGAGGACTAGTCTCACTCCTTTCGTGCAGACCAGCGTCTGCTGTACAGTATGTAGGATTTCAGGAGAAAATCTCAAAGAGCAAGCATGAAGACAGCTCTTCAAGTGGGGAAACAGATAAGTGGTGTATTTGTTTCAGTTTTTATGTTGTTGTTTAATAGCTACAAGAAAGGTGCATCTAAACATCACAATGCTTCAGACAGGGAGAAGCGAAACACAGGAAGCCCTTTAAAAGATTTATTTCCTCCAACATGTATTATTATTCCAAAAATTACATAATTGCTGTCATTAAATTCTAACAATATTCATTGCTGAACTTTGCCAAAAATGTCATTCTTCAAATGATAATGGTAATCCAGCTTTATGTGTGTTTAGCTACACTTCTGTTATTATTTCCAAAAATGCATTGTCATATCTTTGTTTTAGTTAGCTTACCGTGTTACTGAAACTGGAAACTGCCTTTGTATAAACCATTATAAATGACTTTTGGCGTGTTCTTTGGTCTATTAAAGTAACGTTGCATTAACAACAACTGATGTTGTTAAAAAATCATAATGGAAGTCTCTTGTCTTTACTGGTTTTGTAAGGTTGAAACCTTTTTTATATATTTTTTGCCTTATTAAGCACTCGGCGCATAAAATGAAGCTCTTTGTACCTGCCTGTGCTTCCTCTCATAAACCTAACAAAAATGTGCCACTGTAAATACGGTAAATCTCCACAAATAGTAGTTACTACAATTATTATTGCAGTAAAATTGTATTTAAAAAATAATAACACCAAACACTTAATAACAAAGTCACAAATACGTTTTCTGAACGCTATTTACTGTCATATTCAGCATTTCGCACAGCGTGTGTACGAAGTCTCCCCTGAGGGACAGACAGGACGTCGACGCTGGTCCTTCTGTTTCCATGGCAACCGCACCATAGACAAACACAACAGCCCGGCCCGGCACCTGGCTCCGGCAGCCTTCCCCTGCCCTCTGTGTGTTTGTAACCAAACACACTCGTTCATGGCAACGTTTGTTTGGTTCATCTCCTTGGAAGCGTTTAATCAAAAACATCTCGCTCCATTCCAGCTCGAGCCTTTGTAGCTCCTGTGACACGTTGATGAATGGTATCGCACACATCGCCCTCAGTCAACTTCAGTGCTCGCAGCACGCTGTAATCAGCCGGCTGATGAATTGGCTGTTGACATGAGCTGCGGAGCCCGACAGGCTCGACTGGCGCTGTTGATATAATGTGTCGTACACATGCAGGCGGAGTGCCTAGGGGGAAGTACGAGACACGATTATGTCATGTTTAAATGTACATTCATTTACACTAAATAAGACTCATTTTAATGGCTGGTTACATGTTTTATTTCTAATTTATGGTCTGTCTGCAATTTGAATACAGTTAATACGTTAGTACGTCGGCTATGTCTGATTTGGTTCTTACTCTGAAACGCTTGAGAACCATTAGACTGGATTTCCCCCGGATATCAACAAATGAACCTAGTGGAACGATAAAAGACATAATTCAATGAGTGCACTGTGTAAAGAATGCTAACTTTTTGAAGTTAACTTGAATTTTGAACCAACCCACCTGTTAATAGTTCGCATGCTTATAGGCCATATTTGTCAGATTATATGTATTTGTTTATGTATTCGGATAGGCTACTCCTAATTAACGTGCTTGGCTAATTCTAGTGAAGGCATGGATGAAGCCAAATATGAGTCAGCGTCAATGTCTGACTGATGCTGGTGTTAGGCTATATGATCTCAGGATAACATGTGACAATTAGTAATTAGCAACTTGCTGAAATGATAATCATATAATCTGACACTGATGCTCTTATGCCTTGTCTCATATTATTTTGAGGTTATAGGCCTATAACACTTAGCAAGTAGTCTAACGATATGTTGAAATGATAATCACGTCATTGTTACTGTAGTGAAATATATAAAAATAAAGACAAATAAACATGATCCAAACAAATAATTTTCAATGAATCCATAGGAATCCTCTGTGGATGAGAAGTCCCTGGATGAGACTAATTGTTGACTCAATGGTACCACCTTGTGGCGCTTTTTAGAACATCTAAAACATGCTTTTTTGTGTGTGTGTGTGAATGATGTAAACATTTCATTTCACGTGGTTTATACAATTTGTTTTCGAAGAGACCAGCTTTACTACCATTCAAATCTTTCAAAAACATTCCTACAAAAAAAAAAAAGTTTTACTGATCACAAACGTTTGAATGGTAGAGTATAATTCTCAGATACTGCATATGCATGAAAAAAGCAGAAAGCACAAATTAAAGTGCACAAATATGTGTGCATGTAGCCCAAGTATGAATAAGAGTACCAATATGCTCCAAATACAATAATAAAGGATTTTACCAGACAACAGATTATTATATCATTGATAATCAAAATCTATGCACTCACCATTCAATTAAGGTCATACGTAGTTTGCACCTTTAATGTGTCCTCGGTGCTGTTGCTAACAATGTGATTTGTGACTCATTAATTGCACACTTTACCTTACCGGTGTTTGGCTCCAAGAAGTATCTCTATGACTACAAGCAATATTGCTGTTTACACAGAGGTACAAGGTAAACACCTTGTGGTGTTAACAAGAAAATCTGAAATGTGAAGGAAACATAAAATAAGTCAATCAAAATTAGTTCAGTTTGTTTTTCTTCTTAGTTCTTTAGCATCTTATGTGAAAGCATGATCTCATCATATCAGGTAGCATAAATGTTTTCCACAGTGAGTTGTCTAACATGTGCTGTATGTTTATAGTGTTTGTGCTCATGAATTCATTTTGAGCAGAAATAGCTTCGTGGACTCCACAGACCAAGTAGACTACTATGCTGTAAGAAAACACTGTCCTGCTAACCTAGTCAAAGGTACAGTACACTATTGACACTATTAAAGCTTTTAATCATACAAACATTTTTCAAATGTATTCTTCATGCAGATCCAATATTTGGTGTATCTCAGAGTTTAGATCTCTATCACTGTCAGACTCTGTTCCGTGTCTTGTGGTTGTTTTGCTCCTCATGTGCCTTCCTTTCCCATGTTTAATTTGTCCCAGGTGTTTCCCTTGATGTTTCATTGCTTCCAGGTGTGTCTCGTCATCCCCTCCTCCTGTGTGTATGAATGGGGTTCCCTGTGTGTGCTCCAGCATCCGGTATTGTTCATGTCATGTATAGCGTGAGTGTTCCATGTGTTGATTAAACCCAGTTGGATTAATGTACTCCTCGTCTCTCTCCTTTCCTTGTTCCTCAGTCCGCTCAGCAGTGCACCCGTGACAGAATACCGGACCTAAAAAGTAAGCGGCACCCCCTCTCGTTTTTTGAAAGTTTTTTTTTTTTTTTTCCCCCGTGAGTTCCTCCACGTCCCCAAATGGAGGAAAGAGTAATGTTTATTGCGTTGGCTCAGGCGAGCCCAGACCCCATCGTCTTTGCAACGGCGTTCGTGCCGCTTGCCCTCACCAGCTCCCTCGAGGGGGAAACTACGGTGGCCGAGAGAGCTCAACGCGCTGCAACTTAAGAAAACACATGCAAATTGAAAAAACACCAGCAAATTAAGAAAACATCTTCATCAGTTTGACAACACACGCGCTGCAAATCCTCACAACACATGCAAATGAAGAAACGCTGCAAATCCTCACAACACATGCAAATGAAGAAACGCGCTGCAAATCCTCACAACACATGCAAATGGTGGCAAGCCCCAAGGACGTTAGTGTGGCAAGCCCCACGGACAATAACGTGGCAAGCCCAAAACTCGCTCCAGTGTCGGCTCCAGCCCCAGAGCTCGCTCCAGTCCCAGCTCCTCGAAGGCGCTTTGTTGTGCCTGCTCCTCCAGAGCGCCCTCCAGTGCCAGCACCACGTAAGCGCTACCCTGCTCCCCAGTTAAGCCCGGGGGGGGGCTCCTGCTCCCCAGTTAAGCCCGGGGGGGCTCCTGCTCCTGCTCCCCAAGGGGCCCCTCCATTAAAGCCTTTCTCACCATAGTTGGGTAAACAGTGGTGAATGAGAGACTACAGCAAAATATTCCCATATGAAAAAAAAAAACTTAATATCATCTCCACGCCTTTCCAAATGAGGAAAAAAAAAAGCAGTGAGAACAGAGAAATGAATCAAATTTACCATCACTTTCAACCATTGATTTAGAAACACCTTCATAGCGGGGGTTTTTGTAATTTAGTGCCAAGGTAATATATATATAAAAAAAAAAATTCTAGGTTTACGATGTTAATAAATGTCACAGTCTGTAAAAAGGTTCAATATAATGATAGTGAACCTGAATTTCCTGAAATGTCAGTTTCAGTTTCTCAAACTCTATTTCTCCCTGTAGTCTATTACTATGCTGTGTGCTGGTTTGTTTTTGTACACGAGTAAGGTAACAGCTGTTGTATGTGCACTCGGTTTTGGCAATTTGCAGTAATGACGTGAGAAAAGACAGGCCTCCTAAATCATAATGTCTCTTGGCAGGTTTTCTATGGCTACAATGGAAGAGCGGGCATTTCATGATGACAGATGTGCTATCTGCTGGGAAAGGATGTACACAGCATACAAACTGCCCTGGAGGCACCTTTTCCATAAGAATGAAAATGACCACATTACAGATAGAGAAGGATTTATTAGTTACAAGAAATTACATATCCACCCTAGATGATGGCTAAGTCCTCTACGGTATGTGAATATAATCTGTTATGCAGCACTGAGTTGAATGGGTGACTATAAAGTATTACGCACTGCTGTGGAAATATATTAGACAATTTCCTAGGAAATCTCTTTAAATGGTCTCCAAGATGCTGGTACCAGGCTGTCTGTGTTTTCAGGTCATGCTTGCGTTCCTGGCTAGAACAGGAATATGTCATGTCCCACATAGGATGTCTGTAAATTTCAGTGGCAGTCATACCAGAAATGAGCAGGAGGGGGCCTCACTGTCACTCAGTTCGGGCCCAGCTGCTGTGGCAAATACAAACGGAGCTCCACAGTCACCTCTTACATTTTCACTTTTCATAGTTATTCTTCATATTGCCCTAATGGTTCTGTGGTCACATCTGAAGACTCAAAAGTGAATCCTTCAAAATGTCAGTATATGCACATCTGCTTTTTATTATGCTTTTTAACAGTTTGATTATTGCTCTAAAGTAGAATGTTAGACATTCCCTCTGAAGCTATTCTTTAATCATACTTTAGGATCATTTTGTTTGGGGTACCTATTTGGATTCACTTTCACTTAGAGTAAAACCATCTTTTTTGCGTTTGGCATGAATTGTTTTCTGTTGAAATAGTTACCACTCACATTAACTCCATTGTTAAAAAGGCCCAGCAGAGGTTGTACTTCCTTCACCAGCTGAGGAAGTTCAACCTGCCACAGGAGCTGCTGAAACAGTTCTTCTCGGCCGTCACTGAATCCGTTCTCTGCACTTCTATAACTGTCTGGTTCAGCTCAGCTACCAAATCTGACCTCAGAAGACTACAGAGGGTCCGGAGTGCTGAGCAAATCACTGGCACAACCCTCCCTTCTCTCCAAGAACTGTACTCTTCCAGAGTGAGCAAAAGGGCTAGCAAAATCACTCTGGACCCCTCACATCCAGCACACTCCCTCTTTGAACTGTTGCCAGCTGGTCGACGCTACAGAGCTCTGAGCACCAGAACGGCCAGACACAGGAACAGTTTCTTCCCTCAGGCAATCCATCTCATGAACACTTGACAATAACTGTGGAACACACACTATTTATTCACTCATACACTTATTTATCTAACACACATACTTAGTCTACACCTCAAATTTGCACATAATATACCTGTACATACAAAAAAACTGTCTATTGTAATATACCTGCACATACAATTGTCAATTTATATATTTTTATTCATTATTTTTTATTCGTTTATTATCTGTGTTTTTGTTCTGTCGCTGTCATTGTTACACTGCGGAAGTTTCTGTCATGAAAACAAATTCCTCGTATGTGAAAAGATACCTGGCAATAAAGCTAATTCTGATTCATATTATGCCATACAATAATTACCAAAAAAATGTTTTGTTCATTCCCTTTGGCCACAGGTGTACTGCACAGATAATTAGAAAATTCAAATTTTTATCTGATTGCCATTATCCATTTACTGGTTTTCAGGTACACCAGGAAGAAGAGATGTTTCATCAGGTAGACCTACCAGAGTAGTCAATTCTAAAGGTTCAAACCGAATTAAGAAGAATGTACCACTGACTGCATTTCTCAGTGCCTCTAGCAGAGCCCTAGCAGAATAAATTATTTTATTCATAAAAACAGCTGCCTCTTATAGTTGCAACATGCAATTAGCCAAGTGTGAGCAAAAGTGCTTCCTTTGTGTGTGTTTTTTTCTTTCTCTCTCTCTGAAAATCTATTTGTGTCTATATCAAGCTAGGATGGCTTTAGTGTGATGGATTTGTAAGTTGACATTTGCCACACATTTAAGCTCAAGTTCTGCTGTTTTTTTTTTATTTTTTTTTATTTTTTTAAAGATAATCAGCATGATACATTGTGGTTTTGCATGATCTATTTAATATTTTTATAAAATTTTTAGATGTTTTTACTTTAATAAAGCTTTAAGCTTTAATAAGTCAAACCTTTTTGATGTATTGTAGAACTCTTGACTCATAATATACATTGTGTGTTTTCTGAGAACATGACAACTTTTTAATCTTTTTTTTTCATCATATGTATATGTAGGCCTAACTAATTAATTTATCTAACATGTTAAAGCGTGTGACAAAATCAGACAGAACATTTATTTTCCCAAAAGCTAGTGTTTTTCACATGTGCTCCCAATTACAGTTCATTTATGTCAGTGTTTATGTGCCTACGAAGAACACGCGGAAGGGGGCGACACTTCTCCCAAGGGCACACCACCAAGCGTTTTAAACTGAAACATACTGTATAGAAAAACACATGGGCAAGTCTTTAAATACCGCAGAGAAAAACGGATTACTCCACACAGCATAAACATCTCTTCACGTCCATGAGTATTTTAAAGCAAACCTCCCGACGCGGTGAGTAATAATGGCATTTGTAATATACTACTGTGTATTTTAAAGATGGACATTGCAGGCGGGCTTGATACTAATTGGCATTACGGAGTAGGGGGAGATCCGGATTTCTAACACTTTGCTGTTCACTCTTTTTTTCCTCCTGGTGTATATTTTCAAAGACAGTTAGGTTTACTGTTAGGATACGCACACGTGACTATTACATAAATGTTGAACATCTTTAGTCCAGGAAAAAATATATAGTTAATTGAATACACGGTGTCTCATAGCGAGGCGTGTTCACACTACACATAAGATAGATGCATTTGTTTGACATATACACTAGAATGTTTTTAAGCTGTATGTTCCATTAATGTTAGAAAAACATGAAAAAGATACCATCGATGTTTTTGGCAACAGACAGAAGTGTTATCAGTGAAGTGTAGGCTATGTGGCCTGTGGGTTTGCTGACAATATCCTGTTGCCAGAAAGTGGGTAAAGTTTTCATAAAATAATCCCATGCAACTCGTCCCATATTCCAAGTGTTCTGAAGGCATATGGTAGGGTTTGGCGAGAAACAAACCGAAAATGTAATCTAGCTATTATTAAAAGGTTAGTTCACCCAAAAATGAAAATTCTGTCATTAATTACTCACCCTCGTGTTGTTCGAAACCCATAAGACCTTCGTTCATCTTCGGAACACAATTTTAAATATTTTTGAGGAAATATGAGGGCTCTCTGACCCTCCCATAGACAGCGAGGTAACTACCACATTCAAGGTCCAGAAAAGTACCAAGATGATCGACAAAGTAGTCCGTGTGACATCAGTGGTTCAACTGTAAGCTACGAGCATACTTTCTTGCGCAAAGAAAACAAAAATAACGACTTTATTCCACATTTTCATCTCTACTTCATCACTTGTGGATGTGTGTTCACGACAGTATCATGACGCGAGTGTGTGGCGGTGCCGGCGCTGACCCAGATCTGGCATAATGATGTCATCACGACGTATCTGGGTCAGCGCTGGCGCCGCCACAGAATTTTCATTTTTGGGTGAACTAACCCTTTAAGCAAAAATCTTCGGTCGTTGCGATCTACATTCATGCGAAGGAGCAGTTCGCGCCAGCGCGCCAAGGAAAGCACACAAGCAAATCATTTTGAGAAATCAAGAAGAATAAACTCATGACAAGAAACACGAGGTGTATAAACCTCAAAAGCATGTGTTTTCTTTCTTTTCTGAGGTGAATATCTGCGAGTCAGACGGTTGTCAAATGAACGAATAATGTAGGCCAACTAACTCAGGCCTATTCTTTTCGTGTTAATAATTACAATGATTTAATTTACAACCAATTCAATCTTTTAAAACTCAGCATTTAATCATTTTGTTATTTATAATTAAATCTTTGGCATTTACAGGCAGGCCCGATTCCAGAATCAAAACACTGTTCTGAAATTAGTGATGGTGCTCTATAGGAATGTAACGATTAACCGCGAGCCGGTTGAAAATCGATTAAAATATGTGACGATTCAAATCGGTTGAGATGCTAAACAAATCACGATTCAATTAGGGGTAGGTGTTTATATGAATATATGTCTGAGGGGAACTTAC